TTCACATCTGAAGATGGTGTCCCGAATGTCCGAGGCCGCATTCTTGGAGGCAGCAGTGCCATAAATGCTGGTTTCTATAGCCGTGCAGATGAAGACTTTTACAGGAAAACCAGTGTCAATTGGGATTTTCGAATGGTGAATGAGTCCTATAAGTGGGTTGAAAGGGCAATTGTGTTTAGGCCAGAGCTGAGGACTTGGCAATCCGCAGTTCGAGATGGGTTATTGCAAGCTGGTGTTGATCCCTATAATGGGTTTAGTTTTGATCATGTAGTGGGGACCAAGATTGGTGGTTCAACATTTGACACTTTGGGAAGGAGACATAGTGCTGCTGATCTTTTCAAGTATGCAAAACCAGTGAATGTCAAAGTTGTGACACATGCCAATGTGGAAAGGATTCTGGTGGGTTCATCTATGCCATCAGCAGTGTCAAGGCAGTCTGCAATGGGGGTTGTTTTTCGTGATCGAATCGGGATGTATCACCATGCCTTGTTACGTGAACATGGCGAGGTGATTCTCTCAGCTGGTGCCCTTGGAAGCCCACAGCTACTTCTGTTGAGTGGTATTGGCCCAAGGCCTTATCTTTCCTCTTGGGGGATCCCAGTGGCTCATCATCTTCCTTATGTCGGGCAGTATCTTTATGATAATCCAAGAAATGGCATCTCAATTGTGCCACCAATTCCACTGGAGCACTCACTGATTCAAGTGGTTGGCATTACTGAATCAGGAGCTTACATTGAAGCAGCCTCCAATGTCATCCCTTTTGCATCTCCTGCAAGATCTGTGTTCATTCGGACACCATCTGCGCCTCTCTACCTCACTGTGGCCACCCTCATGGAGAAGACTGTTGGGCCAGCCTCAGCTGGTTCTCTGAGGCTGGCTTCAACAGATGTCAAGGTGAATCCTATTGTTCGATTCAACTACTTCAGCAACCCGGTGGATGTGCAAAGGTGTGTGAATGGGACCCGCAAGATTGGCGATATACTCAGGACCCAGTCTATGGAGGATTTCAAGTTCCAGGGCTGGTTTGGGAGCAAAGATTTTAGGTTTGTAGGACCTGCATTGCCTGTTGACCAATCTAACTACGAGGTAATGGCAGATTTCTGTCGCCGCACAGTCAGCACCATATGGCACTACCATGGGGGCTGCATTATGGGGAAGGTGGTTGATGCTGATTTCCGGGTCATTGGCCTTGATGCACTCAGAGTTGTGGATGGATCAACGTTCGGTATATCACCAGGGACAAATCCCCAGGCCACTCTTATGATGCTTGGGAGGTAAATTTCCTGAAATCATTTTTGCACACAGTCATTGTATTTGTAGTTTTTGCAAAAAGCAAACGTTGTTGAAAAGTGCTGACTGTTTTGTTTGATCAATTTTGGCAGATATGTTGGGCTGAAGATGATGAAAGACAGAAAGGATTATAAAATGATCGACTGATCATCTCTTGTTTCTGCGTTGGTTTTACTTTGTTGAGCAGCTCTTGTGTATTTTCTTGTAGATAAAGAGTAGATTGGTGCTCTCAGGAGAATTAGTATGTTGGTTCATTCTTTCAAAACTGAAAGAGCAAATTGTGCAGTTTCTGGTTTTCAAAAAAATTTACTTGGCATGTAATTTCTGTGCAGTGTTTGACCTTTTTCTGTCTTCCTAGCATTTACTTGACAATAATCAATGTTACATGTCCTTGGTTTCATTTTAATGATTGGATGGTTGGAACTTGGATTGAACCCTCACTCAAATCCCCCTCAATGTAGCATCTCCCAGGCCCCAAACGGAAGCTCAGCTCTTTTTTCCTGTACAAAACTTGCTCCTAGATAGATTCTGTTCTTGCGGACTCGAAGTCTGTTAGGCTTGAGACTTTGGGCCAGACAGCATCTCTTGGCCCTTTTAGTTTATGAGGGTTAAAACGTTTCAGAGGATGCAAAGCATCTCTTGGCCATAATCATGACTTGACTTGCCCCGTTTACATTTTTCATTGATAATTTGGTACCGTTAGCGAAGAATCGCAGACTGGACTTTGAGTGCATAAATAAATTTGAGCTACAACTTCGTAAAACCTTTTCTATTTACCAGAAAAAAAACTTTGGGAATTTCTTGCAGTGGTACTAATATTATTTAAGAGGTGGAAAGAATAACATGCACTCACACTTCATTTTTGATAATTGATGCAACTTCGGACCAAGTTCACGGGCAGATTCAGCTAAAATTTCAAGCCCAGCAGATTACTCATAATTGTGTTGTAAGACTAGGTATCTAGCTTCAGAATCAAGGAGGAGAAACACTAATTAAATTGAAGAATAATAAAACCTTTTAGAATAATTAGAAGAATATTAATAATTAATTGAAGATTATAGTGGACATAATAATAATTATTTTTTCTGCACGATAGAAAAAGGCCAAGGAATCTTTTTCCGAATCCTGAGTTCCCTAGAGCTTCCCATAAAATAATTGACGCCAACCCTTCCCCACATTTACTTTTTTAGTCTTAGTAAAAGTTATTGGATCTAAGTCCACTTTTTTTTTTTTTTTGAAAACCAAGGTATCCCGCGCGATTGCGGGGACTAACCCTCGAGGTACTGTCGGGCGCAAAGTGGGGACCTCTCCCAACAAAGTCTGCTCTATTCGCAAACGACAGATCTAAGTCCACTTTTAATGTATATGAACATGTGTTTTTTTTTTATAAAAAAATGTAAGTAGTGAGGTTCCATCAGATCGTGCTTCCCAACCGACATTTCATCCATCACCAACCCTCGCAATCTTGAAAGAATTGAATACACAAAATAATTGGAAAAGTTACAACCGTGTCATTGAGGAATCTAGATAAAATTAGTCCATATATATTTCTCCTCAAGGTGCACTCGCCTCCTTGTCCATCAAGGTTATGAATAACGAATTATCATTGAGGTGTACATGTTATAATCGGATCCATTTTGTTTCTAAATAGTACTTCGTAATTCATATCTATCGAACAAATCAACGATTCTGATAACAATTATGATTCTCACATGAGGTGAGACGTATATAACAGAAGAAAGTTGAAACCCATTATTTGTGTGAGAAAGTTGGATTCTGAAAAAACCCTTTCCCAAATACATGAACATGCACAATGCATGGTGAAACACAGAGGAAAAAAAAGTAGGAGAGATATTTATCAGTTTTGTTTTTAATTTTTTTTAAAGAGATAATTATCAGTTAAAGTGGGAGTATGCTAGCTAGTCTAGTGGGAGAATGTAAATCAAAAAGTTATTGGAATAAAAAAAAAAAGGTAGCACTACTAATGTTTATTAATTTAAGTCTAAGTCATTCTTAAATTGAGGCAGTTACGTACAATTTGAGGCAAACTTACACTTAGGACAATATAGGAAGGACCCACGGAAAGACAAAGCTGAGTTGTTGGGTCCAAGGCCCACATCTACATGGATGGTCAAATCATGATCCATTGCTAATTAGTGAGTCTCTCTCTTACTTGATGTGTTCTTATTCATCATTATTGGAGAGAGAGAGAGAGAAATGCTATATATATCATGCCATTAGTCTATGTTTTATAATAAATGTGATTTCATCGATCTAACAGTTACAAACGCGTTCTCGTAACAATATGTATATATAATATAGAAAAATTCCTAAATGTTGATGAACTATGGATTTTATTCGAATATGTATCTATCTCAACAAGATTGCTCTTAACTATTTAGAGACTCGAAGAGTAGTGACTTTGTGGCTATATACTTGAATGAAAGGCCAAAAGTAGGTACTTGTCCATTTTAGCTGGGCAATCACGAATTCAGGCATGGGGCCTGTAATAATTGTAATTGACTTGGCCTCTTTCTCTTGAGAGAGATGAAGCCTTAAACTCGAACTCAAAACTTCTACGACAAACCAAGATCCCATTCCCATAGGCTAAACTTCACAAAGGATTGGGAGGGAGAAAGTAAAGAAGAAAAAGAAAAGAAAAAAGAAAATGGAAGTGGGGAAGATGTGGGGACACTGTACTGAATGACCAGTCTTGCATCAAAAACATTTTGTACAAAAGTTGATGATGGCTTTAAAACCACATCATGTCATCACAGTTTAAGTGACCATACAATTTAATTACGTACCCTGTGTTTATGGCTCGTAAATTTTATAACTAATAGCAGCACGAAGAGTGAAATTTCCATATGCTTTCGTTTTCGTCATCACATCTTCCTATCTATCGTTTTATGTGATAGATTGGTTACATGAAAGAAGGAGATATGAAGAGAGGATACGAAATTGAGACCTCAGGTCAAGGTTGAATACAACTTTATGTTGTCCTCATCCATTACTATATTTAGTCTAGAGGCATTTGATTCCAAACTAACTAATCACAAAAATGGCATGAAATCAAGCAACCACCCCAACAATATCCTAAAGCTCGTAATTTCATCAAACACGAAGTTCAACTCCTAAACTCCAAGCAAGTTTTTAGTCCAAGAAATAAACCCTACAATTCAATATTAATTATCTCGTAATTTAATTTAGAGATATTTATTTCTACTTTGTTGGAGGATATTTCAAATATCGTGCACGAGAATTTGATACTGCTTTACTGAAAAAATAGGGAAAAAAAAAACTTTATGTTTGCTCTCTACATCCAATCGTGCAACTGCAACCCATGATTCTTTATGTTTGCTCTCTACATCCAATCGTGCAACTGCAACCCATGATTTAGATGGCAAATCTGCAGAGGCTGTAATTTAAAGTAGAAACTTTTAGTCTCCAAAACTTACCTATTCTTAGTTACACCCTCTCTCATTCATTTATCCATATCTAAATTAAATAGTAAAAAAAAAACCCCAATTTGGGTTTACAAAACTCTGCTTTAAGATCCCAACAACTTTTAGACAACCCTCCCCTTACACCAACACCCAATCAATCACACACAGATACCCAAAAAACACAGAAACAAAGAAAAACAAAACTCAAAACACTTCCTCCAGCTTCCATGGCTTCCTCTTCCATCAAAGCCATCTCTACCACCTCCCCCTTCAAAGCCTCCTCCTCACCTTCTTCTCAGCCCCCATCTTCCTCAAAACCCTCCCTCCTTTCCTTTCTCCACACCTCCTCTTCAAACCCCATCTCCTTAACACTCTCCCATTCCCATTCCCATGCCCATAATTCTCATTCCCATTCTTTTCTCATAACCAACGTTTTGAAAACAGCTGACTCATCCGAGACCTCCGTTTCCAAGTCCCAAAACCTCAAGCCGACGTCTTCAGATTCAACCCCGACCATTTTGGTCTCCGAGAAGCTCGGAGAAGCCGGTCTTCAAGTCCTACGTGGCTTTGGCAACTTGGACTGCGCATATAACCTCTCTCCTGAGGAGCTCTGCGCCAAGATCTCGACATGCGACGCTTTGATTGTTCGCAGCGGCACGAAGGTGACCAGGCAGGTTTTTGAGGCCGCAAAAGGGAGGTTGAAGGTGGTGGGAAGAGCTGGTGTTGGTATTGACAATGTGGATCTGCAGGCGGCCACGGAGTTCGGATGCCTGGTCGTTAATGCCCCCACAGCAAACACCGTGGCCGCCGCAGAGCACGGGATTGCTCTGCTCACTGCCATGTCACGGAATGTTGCACAGGCTGATGCTTCCATCAAAGCTGGTATAAACTATAAACAACCTTTTTTTTTAAAATTTATAATTAATTATAATTTTTAAAATTTTCCAACCCACTTCCTCGTTTATGGGAACAAGACCTCAGGTAAGTTGGATATTTTTTTGGTCGCGAGATTTCAGATTGAGTTTACAGCTCGTTTCATGCTCACCCTTACATTTGCTAAGCGAAACTATATCTGCGTTCGTTACAAAAATTTTAAGCAAGAAAAAAGACCAAATTTTGTTACTTTGAGCTTCAAATTGGCATAATATAAATTAGTGGCATATGCTTGGTTGTTGATAAATAAGAAATTTGCCCCTGGGATTGAGGATCTAAGCTTTAAGATATACTTGATGGCTCTATTTTCTCACCAGATGCAAAGTATGCTCTCTTGAGCAAAATAATTGATATGGATGGTAAAAGTAATTGTTCTTTGCTAAAACTATCTGAGTTTGGTGGTACAAATCAATTCTCACTAGATGCCGGGGTCGAATTTCCGCTTTTGTACTGTTTTCAATTCATTGAATTGTAGTGGTGGTTGTTGGCAAAAAACAAGAAAAAGAATTGTAGTGGTGGTTGTGCATTGAATCTATGCGATCTGTCGCTTTCTGGGTAGAAACGCGATTGTCCTGCCTGAGCAAGTGAACAAAAATGTTCAAATATATTTGACTGTGGGATGCTATTGAACTGACAAATACCGGAGGTGGTGGGTGCACATGATTCACATGTGAGCATAGCATTTTTTTTTTCTTTTTCCAAGTAAAATCAGAATCAAATTGTGTCAGATATTCATCTAGCTAGTTATAACTTCTGAAAACACACAGTCAAGTGTTGGGTTTCTGATATGGGATCTTAGCAAATGAGGCAGTGTTTAATTTGTGCTTGTCTCATGTTGTGTTAAATCAGAATGAATGCTAACATTAAAATTTGATTGTTTTGGACCAAACATGGTGACTGGTGACTGGTGACTATACTTTTTTACTAATTTTTGTGTTCATCATCTAGCTCTGCAAGTTCTATTTGCTTGAATTGCTAGGAGGTTAATTGCATTGTTTCACTGTTGTTTGTTTCTCTTCTGATGCTGCATAAATGATAGGATAATTAGCTTTCCTTTGATGCTCTAGATAGACTACTAACGTATGCACATAAGGCTAACTTAAATGATGGTCTTCTGCAGGAAAATGGCTACGAAACAAGTACGTTGGTGTCTCTCTGGTTGGGAAGACATTAGCAGTAATGGGATTTGGAAAAGTTGGATCAGAAGTTGCTAGACGTGCAAAAGGCTTGGGAATGAATGTTATTTCACATGATCCATATGCCCCAGCTGACAGAGCCCGTGCCGTCGGTGTGGATTTGGTCTCTTTTGAGCAGGCCATTGCCACTGCAGATTTCATCTCACTGCATATGCCTCTCACCCCTGCCACATCAAAGGTGTTCAATGATGAAACATTTGCAAAGATGAAGAAGGGAGTTCGCATCATTAACGTTGCCAGGGGCGGCGTCATTGACGAAGATGCATTAGTGAGAGCCCTTGATAGTGGAGTTGTTGCTCAGGTAATATATTTCTCTAATTTAAATTTATGTCAAGGTTGACCAAGTTAAACAAACATAGAAGCATAGCATGTTTGTTCAAAATCACTTCGATTCGCAGGGAGGGAAAAGTACCGTCTATATATTGTGTTCCTGATTTGTCTGCAGATGTTTTCAGCATTCTTTTGATCTATGCTGAATTTCTGTTATGTCTTTTATAATGTTTTGGAACAGGCTGCACTTGATGTGTTCACAGAGGAGCCTCCAACGAAAGATAGCAAGTTGGTGCAACATGAGAATGTCACTCTCACACCTCATCTTGGAGCTAGCACAAAGGAAGCACAGGTATCTTTAATTTCTCCTATACAAATTTTTGTTGAAAGATATCTGATTAATTCTTTAAGTAATCGAATTTTGGGTATGAAACCTGATATTTCAGGAAGGTGTAGCCATTGAAATTGCAGAGGCTGTAGTTGGAGCTTTGAAAGGGGAACTTTCTGCAACTGCCGTCAACGCTCCCATGGTCCCTCCTGAGGTATATGATGTACAATGTGCATCCTTCCCATCTCCAATAAATTATACTTATTCATAGCAGAAGATTAATTGAGCACAAAACATCCTTCATGTTCTCAGGTTCTGTCTGAGTTGTCTCCTTATGTTGTGCTAGCTGAGAAGCTTGGTAAGTTGGCTGTCCAACTAGTAGCGGGAGGGAGTGGAATCACATCAGTGAGGGTGGTTTACAAATCAGCTCGGGACCCCGATGACTTGGACACCAGACTTCTCAGGGCCATGATCACTAAGGGCATCATCGAACCGATATCTGCCTCCTTCATCAATCTAGTCAATGCAGATTTCGTTGCGAAGCAGAAAGGCCTGCGCATAAGTGAGGAAAGGGTAGCTGTAGACTCATCTCCTGAGTTCCCTGTTGATTCAATCCAGGTGCAAATATCCAATGTGGGGTCTAAGTTTGCAAGTTCTGTTTCGGAGAGTGGAAGCATAAGCATTGAGGGGAAAGTAAAGTATGGGGAGCCTCATCTGACATGCTTGGGATCCTTTGGTGTGGATGTGAGCCTGGAAGGAAACCTCATTCTGTGCCGGCAAGTGGATCAACCCGGCATGATAGGCCAGGTGGGGAACATACTTGGGAATGATAATGTGAATGTGAGCTTTATGAGTGTGGGAAGAACAGTGCAGAAGAAGGCCTTAATGGCAATTGGTGTGGATGAGGAACCAAACAAAAGGACTTTGGAAAAAATAGGGAAGGTGCCTGATATTGAAGAGTTTGTGTTCCTCAATCTATAGTTTCTGGTATAGAATAATACCCTTGGCTGCAGCTGTGAATTTAATCTCAGATAGTGAAAAATTCTGCCAACCTGATATATGGCAGAAGTGAGGGTCTTGGAATTGCTGTTTAGTTAGTTTTTGCAATTCTTTAACTGCTTTCAGTGATTGTTATGGCCGCTGCCATTGTTGTTGTTGTTCCATTATTGCCTATGCTTGCCTATGCTTGTGTAGTAGTTAGTAGAAGTAATTCTTCTGCTGGTTTGTGAACTTATTTGTATTCAGCTGTTGTATGAGCTTTCTAAAGTTGCTCTGTCAAAGTTTGAAGTGCATATTCTAAAAACTCACTAATCGGTTAGCGCTTCAGCCCTCTTGCGTGTAAGCGCATGCATTGATGCTACACTTGCTCGGGGTTTTATTTCTTAATGCCCTTTGCACACACACAACACATGCGTGTTAACTAACGGCCGACCAATCATTTGCTGACGACGCGAAGTGTGATGACAAAATTGGAAAAAATGTAATTACTAAAATAAAAATATAACATCATCCTATTCCTAGTGTTACCACGTTCATATATCATAACATAAATTATTAATACCATCTTCCATAGTGACACTGAAAAATTTCTTTGATGCGCTTAAAAATTTCTTGCAGGACAATTGATCAAGGCCGGAACGAAAAAAAATTATATAAAAACGTAAAATATCATGAACCTCACGATCTTATCATAGCCACGTGTCATCACATGGTTAAGTGGTGAGGTAGGTGAAGTAGAGGTTCTACTTCCTTACAGTTCTCCACAATCCCAATTCGGCGATTCCCAATCGCGCTCGCGGCAAAACCCATTCCAAAATCTCGACTTTTACCTTCGCAAAATCTCAACTTTCTCTCTCTCTCTCTCTAGGGTTTTGGGTACAAATCGACATGGCCGGCGCTGGGATCCACCCATACCACCAGCAATGGCCGCCGGCAGCCGGTCCTCCGCCGCCTCCTCCGGTAGTCACCGCTGTCGCTCCTCCTCCGCCTCACTACCTCGTCGACAACCCTAACCGGCCCGCCACAGACGAGGTCCGGACCATTTTCATCACGGGTCTACCCGAGGATGTAAAGGAGAGAGAGATACAGAACCTGTTGAGGTGGTTGCCGGGTTACGAGGCCTCCCAGGTCAACCACAAAGGCGAGAAGCCTATGAGTTTTGCTCTCTTTTCCACTGCTCAGCAAGCCATTGCTGCCAAAGACGCCCTTCAGGTTAGCTTTGTATAATTATCTATGGTTTTCTTATGTTTTATCATTTTTATTTTTTAATGTTCAAGTTTCGAGTTTTTGTTGGATTTTGCGGTTTAGGGTATGATTTTCGATTCGGAGTCAAAGGCGGTGCTGCACACGGAGATGGCAAAGAAGAATCTTTTTGTTAAAAGAGGTGAGGATGAGGTGCAATTTGTTACTGTTTTGAGTTGAATTGGAGAGTTTATTTGTTTTCAATATGTTGTGAGGAAGCTAGTCCAGAAAATATGATCTACATTCATAGGGCATGTGGAGTGATCAATGGCTTTTGTTTCAAACTCGATTTTGATTTTGCAAAAGGAGAGAAGTCTTGTTTTCAGTAATGTGCAAATATTGGGTTCTGTGACTTCTGTTAATCATTACCACACTATGGTAGTTCAGATCATAATGTCAATGGTTTCCAGTTAGCTGTTGGGAGTTTGAATGTAATGTGTTATGATGCGCTAATATGAGTTGGAAACTGTAGGAATTGTAGCGGATGCAAATGCTTATGATCAAAGTAAACGATTGCGAACTGGTGGTGACTACACACAGGCTGGTTATAGCAGTCCATCTCCTTTTCATCCTCCTCCACCACCTGTTTGGGGGCCACATGGGTAATTGAACATTTGCTCATCTACTTTCCTGCCTGAATTGTTGTTATTCTTTTAAAAAGCGGTGTATATTAGAAGGGAAAATATATACTCTGGAAAAAAAAAAATTCAGTCATTTCTGCCGCTCAATGGATCGTATATTTCCCTTTCCAGATACATCACATTTTCTCATGTGAATGTTGTTTATGTGGCCCAGGTATATGGCCCCACCACCTCCTCCATATGATCCATATGGTGGTTATCCTGTTCCTCAAGTACCAATGCCCCCTTCTGCTCCTGTACCAGCACCTAGTAGTTATGTACCTGTTCTGGTAATCCACTGTGCCATATGTTTATTCATATTATTGTACTAAAAATTCAAAGAATTTTTCTTACTTAGTGTTAGTGTTATGTAGCTTATTTTGTTTGTGTTTCCCAATTTCTTTCTTCATGTTTGCTGTAATTTTGTTGTTTCAGATCTGTCAATTTTTTTTTTCTTTCTGAATGTTGGCTTTTCATGATGAGTGATGTGGTAGGAAGCTCATAATTTGTTCTTTTCTTGTGATGCTTCTTGTGATTCATGCAGAATACAAAAGATAACCCACCGTGCAATACCTTATTTATTGGCAATCTTGGAGAGAGCATTAATGAGGAAGAACTGAGGGGCCTTTTCAACTCGTATGAACATCTCATCCCTGCTTATCTTGCAATGTGTTTCATCTCTTTGTTTCACAGTAAAGATGTCCACTAAATCGGATAATCTTTTGTTTATTTCATGATTTTTGGTCTTGCAGACAACCTGGATTTAAGCAAATGAAGATCTTGAGACAAGAAAGGCATACTGTTTGCTTCATTGAGTTTGAAGTGAGTAATGGTTATTCAGTAGTTATGCATTGGTCATTAACCTTTCATGTTGAGATATGTATTTTGAGTACCTGCCCTTTTTCTATATTTTCTAAAAGGATTTTCCGCATAATACATGCAGGATGTAAACAGTGCCTCCAATGTACACCACAGTTTGCAGGGTGCTGTTATCCCCAGTTCGGGCTCTGTAGGCATGAGAATACAATATCCTTTTAAAGTTTTGTTATGGCTGATCTTTTGTTTTTTCTTTTTGAACTTTTATATATTAATTGCACTCTGCAAGCACTGGTTAGCATAGTTACAATGTGTGCTACCTGGGTACTAGACTCTCTTGAAGACACCGCCCTGACTAGTTGCTAAATGCTAATCACTCAAGTGACCTTTGACCATTTCAGAACACTGTTATCTAGGATGAATTTTTGTGTGTGTAAGAAACAGAACCATTCATTAGAAATAAAGGTGAAGTGGTGCAAAATTAGTGAATAAGGAGTGCACTACTGGAAGAAAACTAAACATGCAACCTACAGAAAGAATTCAATCCTCGGAAAGTAGAACTACAAGATGCTTTCCAATCTTACAAAATAACAGAGAAAGATAACCTCCATCACATTCTCAAATACCCTACCTTTCAACCCATAAAACCCAGAAAGTTGCCATCATAGGTTATTAAATCTAATGTTGGCGAGTTCAATGCGTAAGGTTCTTGCTTTTCATTTATGTGGTATATGTTGGAACAGAAGTAGCTATAATTTTTCATCTTGGTTCCCAAATGTATAGTATTTCTGGTTTAGTGGTGTGCAAAAGTCATCATGTGTGCTCACTTACTTTGTAGTCTCGTGAATTGCATTTGCTGTTTGTCATGTGTGCGATTTTTTAATGTTAACCTTAGAGATATTTATGTAAAGGGTTTGCATGTAGAGCACGGTGATATTTCTTTTTTCTCTAGTATACCATAGAGATATTAATTTGCTAAGATATGAATGGCTAATTGGTGTTCTCAACAAGATTTATTTTCTCTTACAGTTCCAAATATATAGTCTGATCCACTTCACTGGACGGGATATATATGTTGCTTGTGACTTGTCCATGTTCCTTTTTATGATTCGTAATTTATGTGTTTTTCCTTGACCTATAAATACATATTCGAAGAACCCATTTGGGAAAAGGAAAGATGGGAACCACCCTGGTGCTGTCCCTGCTGCCAATGGAGCTCCACCAGCTATGACATACCAGTAGCTTGAAGGGGATGTACTCTGTTTTTTATGCTACCGACAAATACAACCACATGATAGGATGCATCTTGCAGCTGTTGCATGCATCCATTTCATCCTCACGTCATCAGCATTAGCATCTCTCCTCATGTGAATGAATGCACATAGTGGCATCATGAACATAACATTTGTCCATGTTATAACGTATTTGTTACATGCATTTTTCAGAAGTATGTGTTAATGCCTGGATATAAGGGGCATAAATATTGTTATCATCTGTAGGATGAGTGGTGCATGGGTCTGCAGATCTGTTCGATTTGTGTTTGTTTTGCTTCATATTAAATTGCTGCACATCAAAATTAGGAATGGCCATCTATATAGGCATCTTGCTGCCTTACATTTTTTTTTTCTACATAGGTTTGAGTGATCACTTATATCAACAGTTCATCTGAAGGTGATTCCCAGTTCTATGTCATGACATAAATTTTTTAGGATGTGGAAACTTAGGAAATCACACCATTATCATGCTTTCCTTTCCATAACCATTGTCATTTCCATCACCACGACATACTATAATCTTAGATTAGTCATAGGTCATCGTTTAAGCGAGGTGCTACTAATGCTGTTTTTAACATTCAAGATGTTGGACGCATAAATTTTGAGAAGATGGTGGGTATTATATGCTGTGTGGTTTATATACAGGATTTTCCAATACAAAATGACAAAGCTCTATTCATATGAGGAGGTCAGGTGTCTGCAGCTGCTCTTTTGTTTCAGGTAATATTACTTCACTAGGCAAGGTTACTGTCAGACACACCTTATGTATGGAGGTTTTGATTCACGATCATCAAGCCACCTAAAGATTAATAAGACTTTTTTGACATTTATCGACGAGAGGAATTTGGAAACGGATCATGACAATACTTTGGTTTTAGAAGTTTGAAGCAAAATATGATTGAACTATTCATGGGTCCTTCCTTGGGGTGACATTAATTGCTTTGTAAGTGAAATGAAATATAGGTTGTGAATAAGAATTAACTTGGAAAGTGAAAATAAAAAGGAGGAAACATTTTGAAATTGTTTTGCAATTCTTGGTTCACTTTCTGCATGCCCTATGGTTCCCTCTATCTTTGGCCATAGCCGTTGATTTGTCTCTTTGCTTTTGCAAATATTCTTTTGCACTTCTGTATGTGTTTGTTAGATGTGCACGAAAGAGAGGGAAGGGGTGTTATTTTTCTTGAAAAACAGTGGGATTGTTGCTCAATCGGCAATTACACGAAACATTTGTTAAG